TTGCGTCAAGAAGCATCACTCGCGGCTGCAACTGGCGGGTTGGATGTTCAAGTATTAGTTGTGGTGTCGTTGTCGGTTTTACCGGTAAGTATGCATCATTCCATGGTGCGTAACCACTGTCAGCTAAACCCCCAAACAACGGGACAAAATTGATAGTCCTTAGCCCCAGTTGACCATTCCGGATCCTCAGCCCTTGCCGGCCTTCGTGTGGAAAGCGTGATGCACGGCTAGGCTTCTATCAGGAGACACGACAACCAAAAGACAGAGATGCAAGAAGTATCTTTAGTCGTCTAGGCAGCACCAGAAGACAGAGGTGCAAGGACTATCTTTAGTCATTAGTCGTCTAGGCAGCGCCAACCTTGATAGAACTACGAAGTGAAGTTGCGAGTTGAGGCTTCGACAACTTGGTCTTGCCTCTCTTCTTCTGCCCCCTTCTGAAGTCGCTGCAAGTACGCCTCTGAGGCAACTCCGGGGCCTCAATGTGAAATGGGCCTGGGGGAGATTGCCATGTTTACCTCCCTTGCAGGGGATACCAGGCCAACCATATAGGACCTTAACCTAGGGGTGCCATGTTTTCGCCACGAAACAGCACCACAGATTGTGCCAGAAAATAACTTGGGGTCGTACACCACAATGTGGCGAGGTTTGTGCTCCCCTCAAACGATCAGGCGCTGTGGCTTCTCTTGCAGAGCTAACAAGGATCTGTCCTTTGGGGCCCAAGTGGTGGTTCAGCATCAGGGATTAGGGTTTAGGGTTTAGGGTTTAGGGTGATTAGGGTGTATGTACAGCCTGAGGCCAGCCAAAGAAGCTGAGTCCCTCAACGCTCCGAACTTGCTGCGCAGTTCCAAGCTGCAGCTTGCTTCAGTCTTGCAGTGTGAAGCCGACCCCACCACAAACAATCACTCCGCTTGCCCCAGAGTAAACCGGAAACTGAACAAGTCATATACTCAACTCACCAGAATGTACGAGGTAATGTAACATAGATTTTCATAGTGTGCTGCAACATACCACAATAAAATGCCATCATCCTTTTGAAAGAGGTTGTGGAGACTGTGATCGCCATGCTTCTCAAGTATGAGTTCTCTGAATTGAGGTCTGTTTAGGGGCCTTTGTAAAAAGCTTTTGGGTTCCAAGAAAAGTTAAAAGGCCCGAACCTAGAGAACTACGGTAACCGTAATAGGGTATGTGACTTCATCGGCGCAGCTTTGCTGAAGATATGGGGCTTGGGCGGTTCCAACCACAATTTCTGCGGTCTGCACCAGCGCGTTTTGGATTGGGGGCTTGGGGAGCAGGGTGGTGCAAATTAATATCCAGTTTAAGGAGGAGAGAGAGATGCTCTTATGCTTATGCTACGGATTGAATTGGCAGGTCTTAGCAAGTGCATCTTCAGGTCTGTAATCCGTTTCCAGTATGGGTAGCTCCAGATGGTTGATGTGACGTCTTTTTCGACCAATCACGGCTAGAGTCTAGAGGCTAGAGGGATCCTGCAACGTGATGCTGTCAGCTGCTACTGAGAATTACTGAGATGTTTAGCTCATCTTGTGCGTCAAGCAGATGAGCTTTACATGGGTATACCTTGTAGTTCTCTAGACTAGGGTCCCTTTTGGTGTCTTTTTGTTATGAAAGGTACTATATTTGGGCGACCTGAAAGGGGACACTCCAGAGAACTACCCGCAGTTTGGGTGTGCTTGTCTCGCTACCAACCCAAAGCCCAACGTTGCTGGACAGTGCTGTAGGAATGTGCCAAGATTGCTTCCAATGGTTTCGTTTGCAGCTAGGGTGCCATGTATCTCCGGACCGTATCCTGGTAAAGAAGGCCAACTGCACATCCAGTCCAGAATCAAACGCAGCAAACCAGAAGTCCCAAACTCTCGATCTCTTTGAGCTGTTCGGCTTTGAAGCATGTAGGATCTGCCCTTAGAGTATACAGTACAAGTGTGGCTTGCGATGACTGTGTTGGGAGGACAGCTAAACGGTTTAATCCTAAAACCATATTTGAACCTAATTAAGCGTCAAACCCCGATCTCGAGGCCTACCTGTCTAGTACAGGGTGCACTAGAGTCATCACCTAAAACCCCCAAACGTAGGTAAAAACTGGCTCAAAACCTCGAAAGTTCTATTATTCTACATAGTTGTGGGGTGCAGGTAGAGGTCATGACGCACAGCGACGGATTCTGGCTCCCGGCCTTGCAAGGCTAAAGCCCTGACAGCTTATTAGTGTACCCGAAGGGTCAATGTGCCCCACTAGTAAGTACATATGTTGGCCCCAAACGTACCTATACAGGCTACTTTAAGGTCGAAGTACATAGGAGTTGGGTACATGGACTTTAGGGTCAGGGTTTAGGGTTACAGCTCTGACATCCTTGATGCTGCGTTGCCGCGGCATCCTGCAGCGCCCTGGTGCCTTTGCCGCCTGCTTTCCGGCTCCTCTGCCGCCGGCCTCTCGTCGAGTTTGGTGGCGTCCAGGGAGTCCAGGGTGTTGCAGCTGCCTACCTGTTGCTAGGATTGGAGCACCAAACTACCGTATAGCCTAATGGTACTGATACTGGGACTGGTGCTGGTGGTTGTCTTAGGTGTAGTGTTTGATCTGGTCTGGTCATGGCCTTAAGCTCCGTCCGTACTAATGCCGCGATCATTACTCTCCGTACCCTTATGCATGGCTTTGCGCTCGTTTATTTTGCTGTGTGCTCGTGGTGAGGCCGCCGTCGCAAACGTGGGACGCCGTCGAGGTGCCCACGGGTTCCCGGGTGACGGTGTCACAGTGCGGGGGTTTGAGTGTAAAGGGTACACGGTCCCTGAATGCAGTAGACTTGGGTATTTCGGCGTCATGGCATCGTACAGGCAGAACAGGCGTGGGGGGGGGGGGTACCTGCTTCAAGAAGTTCGAAGATACCATGCACGGATTCAAGGTACGGTGTGCTAGAGTTCATTGAGGGGTTCGATAGGTCAGCATTGTTGTTATTGGCATGGTAGAACGCTGATGAATACCACCTCCCTACCTTCAAGGCCTTGCATGAATTCAGTTCATTAATCAGTGTCTTAGATACTGAGCCGTCAGGCTTGCAGGAAACAAATAGACACGGTAGCGACCGTCGCGAAAATCTGAGTTTCAGTCGTTGCTACGAAACTACCTGGTAAACTGTACAGTTCGGATACCTTAAAACGCATCAAGCACAAGATGAGAAGCCTTGTCTGGTACGAAGGCTAGCCTTCTCTTGGCAGTAGCTCCAGACGCTCGCAATGCTCTTCCTTCACCCTCCCCTTCTGTGGAGTCAAGGTAGACACCCAGCCCCCAAATCCTTGTCTGATGCTTCCAGCCCTTCCATTGCACCTGGTTTGTTCCTTCTCTCCCTGATGTGGGGTGGATTCGAAGCTGAGGGTAAGCATCCCTTCAGTTGCATACTTCGCATAGGGATTGTTGAGGGAACCAGGGCGGGATCCTTACAATCAGGCTGCGATGCTTCAGGGTCGGTATTTCCTATAAATCTCCGACTTGGTGGTCTCCCATTCCGACCGAAGCCCAAGCCTCCATCTGCTCTTGCTTCCTTGAGAGCACGCCTCTTGACCAAAAGGTGGCTGCAATTCGGCGCTGGACCAAAAAGCCCTATAAGGACAGAAACGACACAGCCTCCAAACCCCCTAAACCCCGTTCGCCATGAAGACTAACCCCAAACAGCCTCAAGCAAAGGCGCATCGACTTCGGTGGGTCCGGCCAGGGTCTTCGACACCACCGAGGTTGCTTGGGCCAGCAGTTTACCTTGTCGGAGTGTAGGGTTTAAGTCCCCGTGGTGGTTGACACAAAAAGTGGTGCCTGTAAATGTAATAGAGTAACATAGAAGGCTAAATGATGACCTATATTATTTTGGGCCTCCCTTATTGTAGTTATAATATAATATACCCTAAAACCCTATTCTAATGATTAAGGCCCCTACATTATTTGCGAGTGCTGCTTCACAGTCAGTCTTTCGACAGATAATTGTTTAGCAGCCCCCAGCTTTGAAGCCCTATAAAACCCCTATAACCCTATACCCTATGACCCAAAGCCCCTAAAATACTTGAAGCCCATATAAAACGAAGCCCTAAAGCCCCTATAAGCCCTATCCCGGTTTCTGCGCAGGAGCTGCTAGCTGACATTGGCGAGCACCTTGGCCAATCCGTGTGAAACTCGTGCTTAGGGCCTAGGATACGAGAGACCGAGAGCCTTTCAGCGGTTGTAAGGGAGACGGATTGGAGTTTTCGGGGTCTGTATTGAATCATAGAGGCCTTGTAACAATTTTTCATGTTGCCAATACTATTCCTAGGAGTCGGTGTTGTAATTCTGAGTCTGTAGGGCTCATGATTCAAAAAAAAAGGTACATAGTTATCCTTTTTAGAGGATCTCTAAGCATAGGACCGCTTGGATGTGCTTCCAGAGAAGGCATAAATTTTGGACGCATCGCCCGAAGGAATCGCGAAGCGATCAGAGATAGTTCGAGCTTTCAGCCTGCTGGTCCCTACGAGAGGCACCCCAGTCATCAGTCTTGTGTTTCCGCTTTGTGCAGCCCCTCCAACCTTGAATCTTTGCAGCCGTCAGCTGTACACATCAGCTTACGTGGTGATATACCAGGAAGTCCGAAACACTCTTCATGATGTGTAGGGAACCTGTCGAAGATTGCAAACTGCCCCAGGCCCTGCCGGGAGAATCCACAGACGTTGGTATTTCTGCACGGCGTCCGATTTGCGCCCAACGTCGGCGCAAGCTTACGTGCCGAGGTGAGACACATAAGCCTTGCTCATTACGGAACTTCTTCCTGCCACTTAGACGACATGAGCGCGTTGAAAGAGAAACGCAACATGTTGCTCTCCACCGACACATGGAACCTGTCACCCAACTCTAACCCTACCTTACCCCCGAAACGTGCGGCCAATATGGGGCTCTTGCAAAAGCCAATATGTTTGCATCCGCTGCCTTCCCCCCCGTCCTTCCGTTCCACCCGTCATTGATATCAAGACATCGTCACATGAGGGCTTCTCAGCTTAACGTGACTGGGGATCCTAACCCCTTTGCCCCACAGTCTCGAAAGCTCTACAGCCCTCAGGTCCTCATAGCACTGAGCCTTAACTCGGACCACTTAACCAAACCGACACCCTAAGCCTTGCTAGATATTCCGAACAACTGTTTCCAAGTATTGAAACTGCTGAGAGGGAGAGGGAGGGTTCAGCGTTGCGGGTTAGGTGGGTTGGGGTGTAGGATGTAGGGTTAGGGTGGAGAGTAAGTGTGAGAGACAGTGAAAGAAGAGAAAACGTGGGGCTAGGGGTTCGGGAGGTTTGGAGGCCTCAGGGTCGCCGAAGCAGAAAGATGAGACAGAGACGGATGGTAGTTCGAAGAGATAAATGAATCCATACGGACCCCAAAGCTGCACACACTCAACGTCCCAGGCCCTTCAAGCATGCTTTCTGCCGGCTCAGACTGGGTTCAAGGGTCAGTTCGGTAACCTACGTTTCTAGTCTTAGGGTTCTGGTTTCATTCTCAGGCTGAGTGGGGGTCTCTGGCAGCTCAGAAAGGCATGTCTATAAGCAGCAGCATTTGGTCCGATCTTTCTTCTAATGCTCTGGGCATCCATCACAAACGTATTGGAAGAGGCTTTGGGGTTTAGGCGGTTTAGGGTTTGGAGAGAGGTGCGGGTTAAAGGGTTTTTTTGGGGATGAACCGGAAAAGAAGCAAGTCCTTTGGGGTGTTTGAGCTTGAATGTCCCACCAAGGTGCTGGCCATCTTCTGGGTTCGCAGGCCTTGCTAGATTTGGTTTGGGGTTTAGGGTTTAGTATGGGATTGTGGGTTTCTGAGGCGAGTGCCACACCGCCGGGGTCCAAGGATTAATCATTCATAGACTGCGCCAGAATCGAATGTACCCACACCTGCAAATGATCATTGGGATTTTGTGAGTTGTGGGATAGGACTTTGGTTTTCCGCGATTGTTGCATTCCGGGGTGCCAAGCATATGGGTTCACATTTACAAATTCGATGCTAGCGACATGTGTTCATTTGTCTGCTGTCCGATGCCGAGTGGGCATCGGCTTTTTGCAACCTCTCCTTGCTCTAACATTCAGGCTGAGGGCTTGTGCTTTCAAGGTAAACAAAACTCTTACGGAAAGCCAACCCAGTTTTGAAAGCTGAAGCTAGGCCCCTCAGTATCAAATCCAGCAACCCCAAACTGTTATCCTATACCCTAGAGGGAAAATCATGCCTTTCAGCCCTACCTCGCTAAACCATAGCCCTTCGACCCGATATCTAATAAATTCGCCAGGTTTCTTCCAGTTGCGGGTGCTGAGACCCGATAATCAAACCCTTCAGCCCAACAACCCTAAGCTTAAGCCTCTACAGTCCCTATAGCTGAACCCGTAAAACCCCACAGCCCCAAACCCTAAACCTTTAAACCCACCAAATCCTTTAAACCCCTCTAAGCTTAGAGCCCAAAACCCCAAATCCTAAACCCCAAACCGTAACCTTTACAGTAGAAGCAAGAAAGTTGGAACATCAATATCCGCATGCCCTTAAGGTAAGTAGAAGGGACCCCAGCACTGATCCTCCTAAACCTATGTTCCAAGTTTCTGTCATTAGCTATAAACCCTAGAAAAACCCTCAAACCTAAACCCCCATAAGCCCCAGATCCCGAACCCTATAATCCGTAAATCCTAAGCCCCCATAGGCCCTATAGATCCCTAATCCTATAATCAGTAAATCCTAAGCCCTGCAACTCATCATCCGATCGTCAGGGTTGTCTCTTGGCTGGCGGTCTCGCGGAGTCGCGGCAGCGACGGCCGTCGCCACTTGAGGAGGCGAGGGAAAGCTTTGGGTTGAGGGCTTAGGGTTTAGGGACATATAGGATTTTATCAGAGTTCGAAGGGGGGCGGGCAAGGGATGTATAGTATGGGTGCCAGGGTTTAGGTTTGGGAATCACTTTAATTAAGTAAGGCATGTTAGATTTAGAGAGCCTGTCAAGCTCCAACTTTTATATACGTTGAAAGTTCTTGGCCAGCTTATGGATATAGAGTGCCCCAGGCCATCCGCATCTCCATGGCAGCCCGGCACGGCTGGCCGCTGCGAGTGTCCACCTGCGCTCTGCCCGACAGTGCTGGAGCTGTCAAGGTCGCTCCACGTATCGTGCCAGTGGGCTACGGGGTCGGAAGTAAACTTCCAAGATGCAGAACCTGCCAGCTGTGGCTGCGCGACACTGTCCAGACTCCAAGATCCTGTGGCCAGAACGGTGACACGGAGGGACCGACTGTGTGCCAAGGAGAAGAAGAGAGACAGGGAATGACGAACAAAAAGAGAGAGACAGACGGCTTTGGAGGGCCGGGAGAGACAGAGCACAAGGAAGAAAGAAATTACAGGGGGACGGAAGAGGAAGGCAAACCTTGCTGTTGCAGTCCGCAGGTTTGCACTGAGCACGGATATCTTCCTGTTTGCGCTCCTTGGTCTCGAACATCGGTTGCTGCATCGATGCGACTAGGAGTTCCTTTAAGTAGCACACGCAGACAAGCACGCACACACACACACACACACACACATTTGCGTGTATGTATGTATGCATGCATGTACGCATTTATGTATGTATGCATGCATGCATGCTTGTATGTATATATGTTTGCATGTACGTATGCAGGTAGGTATGTATGCGTGTGTGTGTGTGTACATGTATATATTTATAGAGGGATAAAAGCACATGTATGTTTATGTGTATGCGCAGAGGCACACACACATGTATATATATATATATATATAACACATCGTGGTATGATGTATGTGTCTATATGTATTTGCATGTCTATATATACATACACATTACTTTGTGTGCTTATATGCAAATGCGGTCCCATATATACATCTATGCGCGTACATATACATGTATAGACGTACAGACATCTACATATAGCTCTATATGCATGTATGTATGTATGTATGTATGTATGTATGTATGTATGTATGTATGTAAATACATATGTACGCACACAAACATGTTTATGTACAGATATACACATGCATACTCAACTGTAAGTACATACCTACATACATACATACATACATACATACATACATACATACATACAGGAGTACGTATATATATATATATATGTACATATATACAGACGTGTATACACACACACACATGTTTTTGCATGCGGGGATTTCAGTGGCTTAGTCTGCTTCTTCTCGTGGGTGCGGGTGTGTGTTGGGGGGTGATGACGCTCTGTGTTTCAAGATACATTGTCATGAGGCTCTTAAAGGCTTAGGCTGGAAGTAGCTGATTGAAAGTAACACTGGCGAACATGCCACAAGGTTTAACATAGGATTGATAACCTACCGAAGCAACCTACCGTGTGACATGCCAAATGACATCACCACATGTCCTTTCATGTTATGACTATCACATCATATCACATCAGATCATGTCATGTCACGACGGGTTGCTTCAGTAGATTCTCGACCCTCCTGCTTCGTGTGACAGGCATGTGCTTTCGGTACGTTCGCCAGTGCTATTTCCAATCTAGTACTTCCCGCGTAATAAGCACCTGAGGGTCTGGAATCCACAGTGTGCTCGTTGAAGGGTGTCAGGGAAGAGTGTCCAACATCTAGTTGTGGTTGTGCTTTCTCAGGAAACAGAATAGATGTGTCCCTCTCTCTATGTATGTCTGCATGCATGCCCGCATATATATATATATATATAACTATATATAAGCAATGACACTCTTCCACGAAGTCTGCGCAGGAGTTTGCACCCGAGGCTCTTATACCATCTTAAAAGCCCCATGTAACCCCTAAACCCTTTCACCCTTAAGCCCTACACCCTAAACCCTTTCACCCTTAAGCCCAAAACCCTATAAACCCTAAACCCTAAACCCTTTCACCCCGAAGCCCTCAACCTTGAAGCCATGAGAATCCTCTTTGAGTCAGCTTTTGGCGAAGTGGGGGTTTCTCAAGGCAAACTCGAGACTCGAAGGCATGATCAGCTAATCTAGGCGCCTGCCTTAAGAACCCAAAACCTACTTTTTTGCAGCGTCCCTATAAATCCCATATTAGGGTTTATAATAAGAACCTACAAAAAAATGGGTTTTGGGTTCTTAAGGTAAATAATGACCTATACTATGTTAGGGGTTCCTTAGTATAGTGAAAGTAAAATATACCCCACAACCCCTTTTCGAATTATTACGGCCCATATATATCACAGGCATGAGCCCCCCCAACGAGGCAGTGCTGTGTATTTGGAGTATCTTAGCGTCCTGGGGCTTTCCAGCGACGGATCCCCTAAGCCATCCCTAAACAGCTGAACCCTAAACCTCAACCCCACAAAACCCCAAACTCTAACCCTAAACCCTAAACCCCAAACTCTAACCCTAAACCCTAAACCTCCAGCTCAGGTTGAAAATGACACCGCCGGCCTGGCAAACCCACCTCTGCCGGCAGAGGAGTTGGACCTAACGGCCACTTGCTCTTAGCTTGAGGGTTTAGGGTCAAGGTTTTAGGGTTTAGGGTTTAGGGTCAATAAGGCTTTAGGATTTAGGGGGGGCTTGTATGGGTTTAGGTTCTATTGAGGGGCTTTCAAGGCTTAGACTAGACGGTCCGCGCAGATGCTTGCATGACTGAGTTGCTAGAAAGAAAGAGTGGTCGTCCCCGTTGTGGGTATTTTGATTCAAAGTAATCACGCCTTGAATAAAAGCGGCCTTGGCAATAAGGACTTAGCTTCAGGGAGGTTTATTTGGGTCACAGGGGTGGTGAGGGGCACTCAAACTCTACGCGAGTTGGTTGCTGTCAGACCAACAACCCCAGGGCTCCAAGTATACAAATAGCACCTACTTTGGGGTCTAAAGTCTACAAGTAGTCCCTACTTTGGGCTATTTGGAGCTCCAGGGCAAGTAACAAGCACTCCCTGCGCCCGAAATCTCCCCAAACACAAAGGATCAACAAGCCCACGGAACCCGAGACTCTGGACCCAAAGCCCTTATAAATCCTAAGCCCCTAAGCCAAGCCTTGCGCAAAACAACGTAATCTGAGATCTCCCCTATCCCCCGAGCCTTGAAGCTTCCAAAAACGAGAAGGTCCCGCAGGTCCTGAGCAACTGAGGTTTAGGGGTTTAGGGGTTAGGAGTTTAAGGGTTCAGGATTTGGGAGCTTAGGAGTTTAGGAGTTTGGGGGGTATGATTCTATAGAGACACGTTTTCGATTCTTTAGAGTAGGGTTCTTGGGTATACTCGAGTACATTGAAACAGGGACTACACCTGGATACAACTATTACCGGTTCGAAAGCGAGGCCCATGCGGCCCCCACGCACACATGAAACCTAAAATCCCAACCCTCTGGCGAAGTGCAATATAGGGGTACAGGTTCGTTTGATTCGTTTCTGACCAACTGATGTCCGTTCTTATAGGGGTCTGAAGAAGTAGTAACAATACCCCTGATAGTTCCTATGGAGTTATGTTACAATATATCCGATCAGCCCGTATTCTCATTGTTAAGGCTTCTGTAATACTAATATAGGGGCCTAAATAATTACAAATAATGCTACTTTGGGGGGGGGGTTCGTTATATATTATAATTAGAGTGCAATGTACCCCAAAACCATCCGAAACCCTAAGCCCTAAACCCTAAACCCGAATTATTAGGGCCCCTAGGTTAGTTGAGCTGCCGGGCCTGGTCGAGGTCCCTGGCATGGCCTTTGTGTTTGGAGCCGAAGCATCTCGGGCTTATTGGGCAATTAGGGTTGCAGAAAGTAGCCCTAAGGGTCCATGTACCCAAATAGTATATACATTGGCCCCAAAGTACCTATATAGGGACTACATTAAGGCCAAAGTATATCCTATTCGAGTACATGG